CGGCGCCAGCCACGGCTTGCTCATTGCTTCCTTCACCACCTTATCAATCTCCTCCTCCTCCTCCTGCCCAATTTCCCTTTCAACTTATTTGAATCCATATATTCATATAATAAAACGGTCGCTTTTATTTAAATTCTATTACTCACTTGAGAAGTATTGTTGCATGGTGGTCGTATCGCCGGCGGCCCAATCGGGCAACCCCATGCGTTACCGTGCGCCTGCACCACAGAGACCAACATTACATATTTATCTTATTATAAGATAATTTTGATTCCTAATGCCTAAAAAGATAGATCCTTTACAATTTTTTATAATCATACCGGTGGAAAAGGAGGCTTCCAATGCCAACAGGAGGAAGGTGGCTGCCACGGCAGCGGATAACCGGAGGAGGGCGGTGGCCACATCGCCGGCGGAGGTGGAGTGCCCCACACCGGAAACATTGGAGCCACCGGATATGCCATCACTGGACTCCTTTGCATTTGGCCATGGCGATGATGATGACCATGTATCCATCTCCTGTCGTGATGATGATTGCCCTTTGGAAGAATATTTCTCCTATGCATCCTGAATTTCTGCTCACCATTTCCACGTGTGTGTATATATATATATATCATGTCAGATCGAAAAAAGCAAAACAAAACATTCCGATCGATTCTTTTAGGAATGGCCGGCCACCACCTGGAGATGACTGGCCACATTATGCCGTGTTAACCCTTCCACTTTCATCAACTCGAGAATCCTCGACGGTATGGCCTGATCCACTCCGAGCTGTTCCACCGCCAGAACGAACTTCTTGTGTAGCTCCGGCGTCCAATCCACCTGATGAATCAAGATCCATATACATAAATTCATTCCGATCAGACAAAGACAGGCTAATATTCTTGTCGACAATGGCAGAGAAGAAATGACTTCACCTTCTTCCTGTTAGCTTTGTTCCCAGCCACATTCTTGATCCCAGAAGGCTTATTACTCGGTTTACATCGATCTTTAACGCCGTCTTCTTTCTTATTCTTCCGACGATCAACCCGAGCTTTGTTCCCGCTTCTCGCTTCATCGGTTTCGCCTTCTCCTTCGTCTCTTTCTTCTTTGACAACCGCATGGTTGGCATCTGTAGTTTCGACGGATTTTGACTCCACTTCCCTACTCTCCTTCTCGCTTGAATAATTCACATTCTCCATCGAACAGTTCCCATCGTTTTCCGGGCGATCCTTGTCGTCCAATAGCCGAGAACCTTGTTTCAACTGCGGGGTCGATGGGGCCGGGTCTCTCTCGTCGGCATTGCTATCTTTCCCCCGGGGATCCTCGCCTTCGAGATAAAGCGTCGAGACAACAGACTCTTTCACGGGCTTAAGCGACCCCGAAACCCTACTCCCCCTGTCATTGAACGCCTAAAACCGATACCGATAGAAAACACGATAAAACGTAACGCACCGTCAAAATGTATATAGCAGGGAAAAAAGAGAGAGAAAGGGCAGAAGAAGTTGCGGACTTTATGAAGGACGTGTTGCCAAATGTTGTTTAACTTGTCGTCGGAGAGCGGTTTATGAAGGAACTCAACTGCACCGAGCTGAAAGAGACTCGTTATTTTTCCTCATCGCATGCTCACATTTACGCAACAAAGATTTACATTTACGTATGATGTCGATCGGTCTCTTACCGCAATGCATTTCATCATTGTGGTTAGGCAATGATCCCTAGAAGTCACTGCCAAAGAACAACAGAATTCACGTTATCCGAAGAATGCTCACTAGTTCACTAGACATGATCGTCGGTCGGTCGGTCCGAATTCAGAGACTTACTTATGGTCGGAAGGTCCTTTGCAGCTTCTAAAAACTCGAAACTTTTGTTCTTATCGCTGGTATTCACCTACAAAAAAACATTACCGATATCGCCAAAAACTGATGAGAACCTTTTCTCTGTTCGTTTTTTCGGGTTACGATCGTTCTTTTACCTCGACGATGGCAATGTGGAAGCTCTCGGGTTTCTCGGAAAACGCCGAGAGAGCTTCGTTTTCGTCCGTGAAGGTTGTGACTGCAAAAAAACCAAGTGAACGAGATAAATTTTCAACCTCGATGGCGAGAAAGGCAAAGTTTTGGATCACCAAAAACTAAAACAGGAAAGCTCCAAAATGGTAGAAGAGATCCGATCAGATGTGATCCGTTCCAATTTTTTCGAAACCTTAAAAACTTACAAAACCCCGGAAACTCTCCTACTTCTGATCTGTCTTCATATCCTCAAACTCCCAAATGCAACTGGATTATATAGCTAAGCACTACAATGATTCCATTGTAAAAATGGACAATTTTACATATAAACCAGTGTAAATATCCAAACCCTGAAATCTCTTTTGGTCCAGCGAAAATCATATTCAACCTAAGGACAACATGTTATCTAAATTACGACTGAGAAAAGGAAAATCTATACATACATGTAGATTCACGCGCGCGCGTGCGCGTGGGTAAGTGCACAGAGACATAATATGACATAATATTATACTGTATATACTAATTATTTAACAAAGATCTTCCGCGGAGATCGAGTCGTCATCAGAAATGTAAGAACAGATGTACTTGAACTCCTATGTCCTGACATTATTATTATTATGAACCCTAAAAAAACGAAAACAATTAAACCGAGAAGAAGAAAATACAAGGAGATGAGATCTATTTCTCTCTCACCGATGTAATCCATGGATTGTAGCTTGGATGCGGCATCGGCTTCGGCGTCGAGAAGAAGAACCCTAAGTCCTTTCGGAAAATTTTCCCAGTTTGATAGATCATGTTCCGTACAGACCATTGCTGGTTTCGCATCGTTTTTCCGGCCACCGCCGTCGCCGGAGACTAGTTGATATCACCGGAACAAAGTCGCCGCCGGGATTCTGATCAGTACGTATCAGATCAAGAACTACCAAATGAAACCAAACAAAAAAGAGAAAAAGTGAAAAAAGGACGAGTCTATTATTGATGAGGCAATAATCATTCATGGAGAAAAGCAGGAATCTGTAAACCTTTTATTACAGAGATGGATTCATTTTCCGAATTTTTTCAAAAAATATCTCTTTTTCTCCATCGAAAACAAATCTGGAATTCTCATACAGTAATTATCAAAGAGGAAAATCCCAGCTAAAACCCAAGGCAAAGCTTTTCCCCGAGAAAAGAGGACAAAAAAAAAACCAGAGATCAACCAAAAAAAAAACCCAGAGATGCTTACATACAAATGCATACATACATACATACATACGTACTCACCTATAAAAAAAATGGAGAAAAAAACCAAAACTTTATATGTAAAAAGACAAAGTTTCACATTTCATTGGAGAGAAATGAAGAAATTGGGTAATGGGCATCTCTCATTTTTCTGGGTTTCGTCTCACCCCCGTCAAAGGTCTCGTCCTCGCTCGTGTGCTCGGGTCAAAATTCTAAAACTTTAGATAGAAACAGAGACTTAGAGAGAGAGAGAGAGAGGGAGGGAGAGTAATTAAGTTGGCGACTGTGTAGTTGTCGTCGTCATCGGTTTAAACGCCGCACCAGAAAATCCTCTTTATGTAATTTTAGCTTTCTTTCGGGGCAGATATGATAATAACATATTTTGTTCGTATTTAATTATTGCATGTTTAGCTCAACCCACCTTTTTCCTTTTTTATATAAATAATGATTACGGATATTTGATAAGATGTAAAAAAAAATTCCTACGAACTTTTATTAAATTTGTGGACCTTAGAGGTCGAATATTTCTCCAACCGTGTCCTCGTGGGTAGAGATATATACGTATATATATAATTTACTCAACTTTATTTACAAGATATATTCTCGACTGTTCTTTCCCGATCGAATTCTATTCGGTCTACTGTCGTGTGGCCATCTGCATATATTTCAGATAAAAAAAAAACTACAAATACATTTATTCTTATGTATTTGACTAATAATTTTTATAAAACTTGGTGATTTTATAACTTACGGTTCTATATAATGAAATATTCACGAGTAAATTATATACATATTCGTAGAACTAATCGTTCTCTTCTCGACCAGGCATATGGATGAAATCTTGTTAAAGATAATTTAAATAGATGGTTCGGTCGTTATTGTATTATGTAAACGATACATATACATATATATATATATATATATATATAGTCATTTAGAGTATTCCATAAATTGTTAATTTAGAAAAGATTGTAAATATAAACGATATTCGAGTTATTATAGAAGTGGTGATTCAGAATTCATTCAACATATTTTTTTGTTGTTGTTAATTGTTTTCAACTCAGTATTCCCAACCTTTCGGATGATAACCCATCGTTTTACAAAAAAAAAAAAAGTAATAAAGAGTATTTTTGACTTGTATTAAATGATAATTTTCGCTTGGGATAATAATATTAATAATAACAATAATAATAAGGTAGATGTCATATTTTGGCAAAGTTTCCATCTTTCAAACCGCATGTCCAACTTTATAATGTCATTTACATAGTAATTTTAAAGCGACAATGGATCTTTAACTAAACGTTCACATTATTCTTAAAACTTATTCATTTCTCAGCCGTTATACAGAACAGAACACCCAATTCTTTTAATTAAAATATCTGTTTCTTTAATTTGGTATAACATTCTCCCCTTGTTCAAAGTAATTCAACTTCTTGAAAGATTCGTATATATATATATATATATATTATCAATGATACATTAGGGTCCATATGTGATAGATAAATCTCTATTGAAATCATCTAAACTACACCTTGTCAAGCTAACATAATCATATGGTACGTCAATTATACAGGACCGTCGAATATGGTTAGCAAACAGAGTCCCGCATTCAATTTTTTTTCAGTTTTCTAATTTTTAAATTATTTTTTTTATTTTTCGTTATTTATTTTATTAACAAAAATCAAGTTCAGATACAAATTATACATATACATATATATATATATATAATTCAATATCATTAAATCTTCTATAAAATGAAGGGAAAATGGCAAAAACCCACACAGATTATACTAAATGTGTAAAATTAGTACATCAATTTTTAATTTGACAAAATCCTCCATCCGATTTCAAATTTTCTCAATTTCCAGCATCGATTGTTTTGGAAATTTCCAATTAGCACCGTAAAGGGAATTGACCCTGCCACATCAGCACTGCATGTTGATGTGTCACCACTCATCGAAAAATATGCCACGTAGGATGACACGTTACCTGCCACGTCACCAGTTCGGTTATTGTAATCGGTTCATTTAATTTAACCGGTTAAGTGGAAACCGATTTTTTTTTTAAAAAAAAGAGGAAACCCTAAATCAGAAAAGAGGAAACCCTCTCTCCTCTCCTCTCTGCTTCTCTCTCCTCCTCTGGTGCTGGAAAACTTCTCCTGTGAGACGAGCTCCGGCGTAGCTCTGACGCTTCTCTCTCCGCCGCAGGTGATGGTGGGAATGGCGGAGTATATTGCGGCCGTAGCCGTGAGGGAAGAGGATTCATCTCAGTCGTTGGATCCCGGAGGCTCGCAAGATTGCTGGAAGAATCAGGACCCTGAGTCTGTGGCTAAGTTCTTGGCTTACTGCGACGGCCTGAGCGAAGGGTTCATCGGACGGCTGAACCAGAGGACGAGACATCATCGGTGGGATGATCGGACGGTGGATATGGCTTTTGGGAATAGAACAGCTGAGAGCGCGTGCGACAAGATGGTGTGTCGGATAAATACATGATGATTGATCCTAAGCTGGCGTGGAACATCGTCACATGCTTTGACGACAATGTTTTTTATTCTTTTATTTGATGTTGTGATTTGTTTTTTCGAATTATTGGATGACAAATTGGTCAGAACCACGTATTTTTCGGGTCGAAACAAAAATATATTAACCTAACAATAGTTTTTCGGAGCTGTTCTCACCGGAGGAGTTTTCCAGCAATGGAGGAGGAGAGAGAGCGGAGAGGAGAGGAGAGAGGATGTGATGTCGATTTCTGATTTAGAGTTCGATAAATCCTTTTTTTTAAAAAAAAAATCAGTTTCCACTTAACCGGTTAAATTAAATGAACCGATTTCAATAACCGAATTGGTGACGTGCAACATATTTTTCGAAGAGTGATGACACATCAGCATGCAACGCTGACGTGGCAGGGTCAATTCCCTTTTCGATGGTAATTGGAAATTTTCAAAACAATCGATGCTGGAAATTGGGAAAATTTGAAATTGGGTGGGAGATTTTATCAAATTAAAAATTGATGTACTAATTTTACACATTTGGTATAATCTGTGTGTGTTTTTGCCATTTTCCCTAAAAAAAATAAACTAAAATCGTAAAACTAGTAAAATAACATTTCAATGCAAAAAAAAACGAGAGATTGACGAGTTACTCTGTAGGTAGTGAGTTAGTAGACCGAGAGGTGAATTCTCTATCTTTGTTGCTTGATGATTCCCGAACCTGATTTAGAGTTCGATAAATCCTTTTTTTTAAAAAAAAAATCAGTTTCCACTTAACCGGTTAAATTAAATGAACCGATTTCAATAACCGAATTGGTGACGTGCAACATATTTTTTGAAGAGTGATGACACATCAGCATGCAACGCTGACGTGGCAGGGTCAATTCCCTTTTCGATGGTAATTGGAAATTTTCAAAACAATCGATGCTGGAAATTGGGAAAATTTGAAATCGGGTGGGAGATTTTGTCAAATTAAAAATTGATGTACTAATTTTACACATTTGGTATAATCTGTGTGGGTTTTTGCCATTTTCCCTAAAATGAAATAACCTCACCTCAGTTACACGTACTAGTCTCAATTTAGTTAGACATAAGAGCTAAAATTAGTACGCTTATATGGTATGTTGTATGGTGAACTAATAAGAAAATTTAGCAAAAGTATCTTAAATAACACGTGTTTGAAATTTTATGATATTTAAGCATGTTATAATTGGTATATTTTATATTTTCCAAAAAATTACGAGGTCTAACTTATTGTTTTTTTTTTATGTATAATATGGATCTAACGAGATAATAATACGATAACTATGTATAAAATGATGGCAAACGAAAAACCTTACTTTACGTAATTTAATTTCCCTTCCCCTGTCCGATTCCATGAAGTCAATAATAAAATTAAATAAAAGTCCATATAAATTACGTACCAAACTACCGCATGCTGTCAATTTACTATATTGGAAAATTCAAGTGATTTTGATAGGACTACAATTATTTACGGATTTTGATTTAAAAAACAAACAAACAAAAGCTTAACAGAAACCAGAGAGAATATATATATATATATATATATATATATATATATATATATGCGAACCTACATTTAATTCGATATATATGTATACATATATAGAAATGAACGTACTAAAATCGGACCAATCGGGGTAACATTGTCAGTCTTTAATTGGTCCAACAATCGAAAGAAAACGAAGACACTGATTCGATCCGAAGCTAAACAAAGGTCAGAACAGGACAGCACACGGTTCTTACAGCCCACAGTTTAGCCGATAATATGCTCATTGGTAGTTTTTTTTAATTATTATTTTTTATAAAAAAAATTGCCTGTTCATTTTCAAACATAAACTCCAATATTGACTAAACGTATATTGTATTTTGAGATTTCAGACAAGGGTATGCGTTTCCGGAGTTGGTTCGAAATTTTAGCGGTTCAGTTGGAAAATGGTTTATTCGGTATTCTAAAATTTGTATCAAATTAATACCGTATATTATTCGATTTGGTTTTGATTTCAGTACGGTTCGGTTTAGGTTGTTGTTAACAAAATTTAGATTTTTAAAAAAAAAGTTTTTTAAAAAAATTTAACAGTTCGGTTCGGTTCAGTTCTATAAAAATCATACCGTACGGAAATTTTGGATGACACAGTTTGGAAAAAAATACCGAAACTTTCAGTTCGGTACGATTCGGTTCCGAAAAACCGAACCGAAATATCTACCCCTAATTTCAGATATATGCATATAACCAAAGTTCTATATTTGATTCACACTCGCATCTCGAATTATTCGCGATATCTTAAATTCACGCCCATTTTTTCTAAAAGAAAAAGAGAAAATACAAATAATATAACCGAATAACAAAATAAATCCGAGAGACCATAATCGAGTGATGAAGTTGGTTAAGAAATGTGGGAATGTCATTGTTCTAGATCCCTTGTTCAAGTCGCGGGTTGGGGAAGATAGTGTTACGGACAAAGTTGTGGCCATATGGACTATCTCCAGATCTTATGAAAGATATAGTTGGGTCGAAGGTTAGAAAAACTAGTTAGATAATAAAAAAAATACAAAATAAAAAAACAATAGTGGATGGTGTTTCATGTGAAACAGCCAACACGTTTTGTCCCATCTTGTGTTTTGTAAACAATGTGTGTAAATTATATGGATGGATGAATGGACTTCCATTGAATGAAGTTCTGACTTTGTGCCCAAAAAGCTCTGTTCCCTCTTCTCTTTTGTTTTCGACCACATATTCACTTTGGTTCCATCTCCCTGTTTTTTCTTTCGCATTTTTCAAATTTCGAAAGTCCATATCCGTTTCGTTCGATGGAAAAAAAATTTGAAATATTTTATTTTCCGTCCTAGTTTAGCAATGCTGCATTGATTTCGTATGAGCAGTGGTGGCAGCACTTGAGACCTAGTTTTAAAATAATTAAAACAAAAATCTCATATTAATAATTTACGAATTTGTAAGAAAAAACATCTTAGATAAATATACAAATTTTAACTTTTTCAACAAAAAAAATACGCGATTTTTTCTTAATTAATATATTAAAACTTGAACTTTTAAAAAAATTTCAAGAATCACCACCTCATGGTGATATTCGAGAGTAATTTAAAATTTTAAAATTTAATTTCATAGCAGATTTTAAAAATTAGTTTAAAAAATTGCATTTTTTTATCATTTTTTAAAATTCGAGATTTAATATAAGAGTCCGGAAATGTCCATGTATTTATTTAAAAATTTTAAAGTTCACATCAATATTGAACTTTTTTTATAAGTATATGTATTAATATATGCGATTTCACCATATTCAAACGACTACATTTATTTTTTTCACTTGGCTAACCATCCATAAACACAAACTCGTGAAAAGGATTTTTTTTAATATAATATTTTTTAATTGATAGTTCCAAATCAAATTATATTCATCACGAGTAACCACATTACAGATTGTTTAATTTGGCAAATGTGTTGGTTGGTTTTTTGGTCCCGATTGTCTCCTTTATATATATATTCTTCATTCTTCTCACCTTTTTTTTAGTTCACACCTTTTCTATATTAATAATTTTTAAAACAATTACTAGGGGTAGGAGTGTAAAATGGGAGGGTTCGGGCCGGATTCAATTCGGACTAAATTTTTTCGGATCGGGCCGGTCCGCCCATTTATTTTTCGAGTCTATCATCGATGGCCTGAAGCTCGGTCTTACAGGGCTTCGGACGGATTCGAACCGGACTTCGGATTTTTTTATTAAATAAAAATATTTTGTGTGTGATAATAATAATAATAATAATAATAATAATAATAATAATAATAATAATATAAACATTCAATCGAAACAAAAATAAAATTAAAAAAATTATTCAATTGATCAATTGTCTAACACTATATCCGATAAAAATATATTAAAATAAAGATAAATTTTTTTATCCACATCGACTACAATTTAAAACTTTTAAATTAAAAAAATGACCATATAAACTTTAAAATATACAAATTTATTTAATATTTTTAATATATATAATATATATTCGGTATAAAAAATATACTTGATAAAGACCCATTTCATCCAAGAACGCAAAAAGCACCTTCGTAGCGGTAAAAAGGGCGATGCAGCTGTCTACTACGAGTCCCGTCTTCAGTTTGATCCTTCTCACATTGCCCTGTTCTTGTCTTTTTTACTTGGGCTCTGTAAGGTTTGAGACCTTATTTGGTGAACTTATATACAAAACTAGATTATATCCCCATGCATGATCGTGGGTTAGGTCGGAAGATTATCGGACCGGACTCGATTCGGGTCTGAATTTTTTCGGACCGGACTGATCCGCCTATTTATTTATCGGATCTATATTATTAGGTCCATGTCCTTAATTTTTTCGGACGGACTTGGACCGAGCTTCAGGTTTAATTAACATCCCCAACTGGGGGTGGTATATTTACATTCCATAACTATTTAACTTTGTCTCCTTAATTATTCGTATAGATAGTCAAGCCTAAATAAATAACATTGTTCATATCTAGTAAGTTATCTCAGTCATCATGTATGTATATATGCATATGTGTATATATATATATATATATATATATATATATATATGTAGAGTATCAATTTAGATTGGAATCTCAAAACTCGACTTAATGGGCCTAAATTTTTCAGGTAAAAAAAATTGGATTTTCGAATCGGATTCAAATCGGATTTTGTATCGATCCAAAAGTTCGATATTTTTTTTAAAAAAAATAATGAAAAATAAAAAAAAACAAATTTATAGAGGAATTGATCGGTTCGATTCGGTCTGAATCCGATATTTATAAGAGGGACTTCAGATTTGATTATGTAGACTGAAAAAAATCGGGTCGACCCGAGCTTAAATCCGAAATTCTCGGGCCCCCCATATATATGTATGTGTGTGCGCGCAGAACAAAGGGTGCCCTACGCCCATTTTCTTGGGAAAACAGCCCACTTAAAATTCAACAAGATATTAAGATCCCAACGTGTTTGTGCAGATGTCCACAACAGTCCAAATTATAATTATCACTTGCAGATGAAAAAAAGACATTTCAACCCAATAAATAGGCCCAATATTTATTTATGGGCCTTATGATATGCCCAATTTTAACAACTTGTTTAAGACTTTTCGGCCCAAAAAATAGGCTCAATAATTATTGATGGGCCTTTATTATATGCCCTTTTGTATAATTAAGGCCCAAATGATTATTTCTGTAGAAATTATAATCAGAAAGCAAAATCTTCAGAACAAAAAAGAAAACGAAATTATCAAAGAATAGAACAGCAATGGATTTGGCTATACGGAAACAATTAATTGAGGTTGATTTTACTCGACGCGGGTCCAAGTCCGTTTTGACAATTAAATACAAAATGTCAGATATTACATAAATGTACATATACTATAACTATATTATATATACTATTCGAACCATTTATATAATATTTTCACTCCCATCTCCCTTTGGAATGGAAAGTATCCAATGAATAGGGTAAAGGAGACGCCTGCGAATTAAAGACAAGCATGTTTCATATACAGCAGGATCCTAAAATTGGTCATAGATTCGACTGAGATCCAATGCGCACATGCATCATTAAATAAATATTAGGTTGAAACCTAAACGTTGGCATATATTTCTGAATTTATTAAATGCTACAAAAATATCATAGAAAATTGTCATGGGTCGCAGGTGGTTTTTGACAGTGACAGACCGTTGATTAACCGGTCACTACAGCTCAAACCGGTTTAGCAAACCGGTTTATCATCTAAACATATAAATCCTTATGTAGATGCACTTAGGGACCATTTCGATTATTAACTGAATAATTCGGTTCGGTTCGATTATTTGCTTAATAACCGAATGGTTGAGGAAATTCAATAACTGTTCGAATTCGATTCGGTTCGATTAATAATCGAATAACGTAGTTAACCGAATGATTATTAGAGTTTTTTAATATTTTAATTTTTATCCTAATTATTGTAAGTGTCATTCTTCTTTTACACTTCACTTTTATCCCATGTGTTTCACCGAATTAAATGTAGAATTTAATATTTTTAACTTTTATCAAGTTTTTGTAGATTTTTTTTTGGAGAAATAATCAGATTTACTTGGCTAGATATTTTAAAGTTTGTAGATAATTAATATTTTCTTTTTAAAATATATCATAATCGAATCGAACCGATCCAAAACCGAATCGAATAAACCGATAAAATTTAACCGTTCAGTTATAATTTTATTATACAAAAATCAAACCGAACCGATTAAATCTATACAACTGTTTGGATATAATTTCTTTATAACCGAAACAACCGAACCCGAAATAATCGAACCGAAAAACTGAAGCGAATCCGAAATGGCCACCCTAGATGAACTTACAAAGGCCGCCTAAACCAAAAGCAGAAAAACAAGGATTTGCACTTCCAATAATCGGTTACACTTGCACATAAAATAAACAAATTACTTCGATTATTACCAAAAAAAAATTCTTAAATCTAAAATGATGACCATAATAGAACACGGTTGGATTTTCCGGGTTAACGTAGTTGGATCAAATACATGCTAAATTTTCAGATTATAAAAAAAAACATAACATCCATATATATATATATATATATATGCAAATTATGCAATGGAGATGCGAAAGGGGACATAATTTTTCATAGAAATTAACGAATGATGTATGACATGGCCAGCTCACAACCGCCAGTCTTATGTCCCCACATATCCTATGCCATTCGATTGTCATGAATCATGATCGAGATCCGTACGAGAAGATTATACAAGGGGTTGAAGATGACGTCATTTTGTTATAGCCACGGCACACAAGATTCGTCTCCGTTTGTGTTCGTCTTTCAGTTCATGTCTAGTGGTAATTAATTACAAAGGAGAAAAAAAGGTACTAATAAATAGTGATGTAACAGACGAACAAAATCAGGAAAAATATTTTATTGAAAAAATTAGGAAAAAATAAATAAAAAATCCGGAAAGTAAATAAAAATGAATTGTGAAGAACCTCTTCGCATGTATAAAGCACGTCCTTTCCCACTCCGACTATTCGACTTTTGGAACTTACAGTTCATCGCAGCCTTTTTTTTTACAGAGAGAGGGAGAGACAAGCCACGATCCGCCATAGCTGTAGAGATCCCCACAGGAGGAAAAAGTGAGAGGAGAAAAGGCTTCGTAAGACCCCTAAACCATGCCTTCGGGTGCTAAGAAGAGGAAAGCTGCCAAGAAAAAGAAGGAACAAGCTGCCCATCAAACCACCATCGCCACCAAATCAAACCGCGGTACTTTCGATTAAAAAGTTTCCCCCTTTTTGTTTGGTGAATTTCACAGCACATAGTCCACTAGTTTCTGCTTTCCCCCTTTCCGTTTGCCTGCCTGTATCTCAATTATTCAACCACTCATTCACGCTTTTTTTCTGGTCTGCGGTCGGGTCCTTTTAAGGTTCGAGCATCGCTTGTCTGCTTATCCGCTTCGTTGTGATCTGGGTTTCAGTTGAGTAGTTATATAGAGATTACAGAGTTTGAATTTTGATACTGCGATTCTGTGATCCAAGCAAATGGGTATCTGTTAATTCCTTCGTTCTGCTTCTTTCTATTGGAATTCCAGCTCAAATTTGGGTTGCTTGCCGTCCTTGTTCTGGGGGTTCTTCTCTCTGCTTGCTTGATTCTAGATCTCGGATCCTTGGGATTGTTTGTGTTGCTGGATTCATGATTTATACTGTTCTTGCTATTCCAGTGGATTGAGTTTATTGTGGTTGAAGGTGTATACTCTTTTCTTGTTTAAGGCTAATTCGTTTGATTGGTTTTTAGATTTGATAGGCATTTGTTCATGTCCAGAGATTTGATTCGTTGGCAGATGAAATGACTTGTTTAAACTATACGAGGATACGAGTAGTTTTCGATTTCTCTTGAGGTACTGTAATGATTTGTTGGCTCTCTGTACTGAACATTAGTTGGCTTTGTTGTAAATGGTTAAATAGGAAACGATGATCCGAGAAGCCAAGAAGAGAGGGAGATTGATCATAGCTTCAATTCGCCAGCATCTCAAACTGTGAAAGAAGCTTCTGTGATCAGCGGGGAAGACACAATCAAAATCGAAAAGGAACCGGAACCCGAAGAGAGCATAGAGATAACTGATTCAAGCCCTGAACAGGACAAGAACTCTAGCAGCAGCAGCAGTAGCACCAGCAGCAGAAGCCATAGCGGCTCAGATGATGAATCTCGGGAAACTGAGAAGAGAGATGATACAGAGGTAGATGAAGTAATTTTGAAATCTCTGTCAAAACAAGCCATCTTGGTTGGTGGAAATGCTCCATGTTCAGTTCCTAGTGCTAATACCATTATAGAAGATACTGGTCCAGTGCAAGCAATGGTTGCTGCGCCCAACTCAAGGGAACATATTCAAATGGAGAATATATCAGAGAAAGCTTCTGTAGTCTCAGTTGTTGATACAGTGGTCTCAAATGAGGATGAAGAGAAATCGTTGCCTATTGCAAATGAGAATTCCACCAAAGATGTTTCAGGCGCAATTGACTCTGACGCCAAAGAAGACGCGGGCAAAACATTACCTGTGTCTGACCCTATTCCCGAAACCAATGGTGTTCCTGAAGGCCTCAAAGTACCAGAGGTTTCCATGTCTCATCAGAAAGAAGTATTGTCTCCTTACACTTTATTTTTGTCCAATGCCATTCATATTCTTCTTTCCTGTCAAGCTTAGCTATACCAAAGAATTGCAACTGAACTCTTTTTCCTCTTAGGTTCCGGTGCCATCACCCCTCAGGATCGGGCAAAGAACCTCATGGTTAAGTTGCTGTGGCTTGTTTGATGTGATAACAGGGTCCAGAGTATAAACTGAGGTGAGTGTTGTCATCTAACTTTGGTGCCTTCATCATTGGTTGCTTTCTCTTACACACAGTTACAAGTATCCATTCTATTGGCTTCATCGATACAAATTATGCACAAAGGCTCGCACTTGTTGTCTTCTGCATGTGGGTTTTGTTCTTCGATATTAGTATTTGTTGATGACTTGTTCTTTCTTGTTGTATGTGTGTACCTTTAGTCTAAACAATGACATCTAAAACGGATTCTCTAAATTATGATGGCTATACCTGAATATCAGGGTTTCTTTTCTTCGAACGCAAATTTATACACATCAATAGCTGTCTTGAGTGATGGAACTTGCTCACATTTAGCCGTTGACACCTCGAGAGATCATCAAGAACTATTTCCGTTGAGTTTATCAGTGCTTAATTTTTAGTATTCAGGCAACATGCCGTGAAACACTAAAAAAGAAAGACCTGTCTTCTCCTATGTTGCAGAATCATCCGTTATTGCGGTTTGAGGAGCTTGGATTCTCTCTGTAGGTGGAAATTCAGAGACTTGATAAAGACCCATTTCATCCAAGAACGCAAAAAGCACCTTCGTAGCGGTAAAAAGGGCGATGCAGCTGTCTACTACGAGTCCCGTCTTCAGTTTGATCCTTCTCACATTGCCCTGTTCTTGTCTTTTTTACTTGGGCTCTGTAAGGTTTGAGACCTTATTTGGTGAACTTATATACAAAACTAGATTATATCCCCATGCATGATCGTGGGTTATATCAAATCTTTTTTTATTTATTTTATTTAATGGACTCCTGTTATTTTGTTTTTGTTCTTGCTTGAAACAGAGGCTTCCACAAAACAATTATCCAAGTTTCAATAACTTTGCTCACCTTGAAAAACAGCAGCTTTCTCATCTTCTTTTCCCTCCCAAATATTCTCTGAATCACAGAATCTGCCGTGGAAAGCTGCAGCTTCGGCTCTCTGATCTTCAATTCTGTATTCGTTACACGTCCTTCGCAATCCTCAAAAGCCGAATCCAAAGCAGAAAGCTTGTCTCCGCCAAAAACTTTTGCATCAGAGACAGTGAGAGAAGAAACGATCTGTTCCAGAATCTGGATTGCCTTTGAGAAACATCGATGAAATCCCTTGTCATGAGCTTGTTTCGGGTATAAAACATAAGGACCCTTCTTCTTCATCTTAACCATTAACGTCTTGTGAAGAAGACCTAACTTGTGCAAGACTGAACATTTCACATCATGTGCTCCATGCTTCACTAGCAAGTATCAGAGCTCGTCCGCTTCAAGAAAGCCAATGTCGTCAGGTGCAGAGAACATTGAGTTCACCACGACGTTTGAGAGTCTAACTCCTAGTCGGATTGCCTTTGCCTTGTCCTTGTTCAGATTTTCTCGTCGGTAATTCAGTTCTTTGATCAAATCCATACGTGACTGATAATAACTGATAAAGGAAGAGGGGAACTAAGTGAGATGATCTCTTCCCGCCTTTTCGTTTGTTCTTGGACAAGTTCCTCAAGTGTCTTGCCTTCCATTGAATCTACTGCAGTCTTGTGCTTTATCATCATCTCTCTGGTTCCAATGGGAATTCTTGAATTTCTTCAAGTATGGATGAGAAAATGGATTCAACAGCCACAGAAACCGTGAGAGGGAGAGAGAGAGAGAGAGGGAGGGAGGGAGAAAGAGAAGGGTTCGTGAAGGTTTTTCTTTTTGATGTGATGTGAATCAGATAGAGAGAGTGAGAGAGAGAGAGGGAAAGCGTTCTTGAAGTGCTTTCTGTTGGATGTAGTCCGAAACAGACGGAGAAGCAGACAGAGAGAAGGCGTTCTTGAAACTGTTTCTTTCAGAGAGAGAGAGAAGGAGAAGAAGAAGAAGAAGAAGAAGAAGAAGAAGAAGAGGAAGAAGCTTCTTAAAGATTTTATCTTTGGGATGGGACGTGAATCCATTTCTTGAAGGTTTTTAACGGCAAGAAAGAAGAGCTGAGAGCTAAAAAGCGGGTGACCAAAAAAGGAAAATGCACAGCTTGAGACGTGATCTATACGCTCATTCCTCAGTTCACTTTCTACAAAAAATCACCCACGAGAACAACAGATAGTAAGGACAAACTGAGCAAGAAGACAATAGGCAAGTACATCTCTCTCTCAATACACCCATCCTTTTGTTCATCTTACAGTTTGTTTCAACTCCTGCAAGTGGGGAAGATGTGCAAAATTCCGCGAGAAGATCTCTATAAAGGGCTTTCCCCCTGCTGTATCAGTGTAGTTGAATGACTTTCAAATTGTCTCTTAAGCATTTTTGTTGGTTATTCAGTAATGGATCGAGCTAAGAATGACAAGAATGGCTCAGGATTCATCATGTGTCAACTTTTGTTGAAGCATATTGCACTTGGACAAACGCTCTTTCACTTCATCCCAAGCTGTGGATTTGTAATACTGAGATCAAATGAGAAAAAAGAAGAAGATTGTTCTTATGGTTAAAGGGGCAAGATGCAAGAGATTTACCTGGTAAATTTCGGAAGTCGGGTTCAATTCCACCACCGTTGATGTCCATGTGATTGGGGGTGACGTATTTTCCAATGGTGACAACCACTCCAGATCCATCCCGGAGTTCAAACACCGATTGAATCAAACCCTGAAAGCTCCACCTTCACAAGTTCAATTTGAGAGGAAGAAAAACAACTGCAAACATATAACGTTTATGGCATATTAAGACTTCAATGACCTTTCCATAAGTTCTTTCACCAACGAGGACTGCTTTACAGTTATCATGAAGTGCAGATGCAACCTGGAAGCAACAGGTATCATCAGTTAATTTATGATCCTCGAGTTCAAAAGGAATTAGAAGTTTACGATATTTCAGCTACTAAAGACACTCACAATTTCACTAGCACTAGCTGTTTTGCTATTTACCATTACCTGTGGCACGAGAAGGATTCTATCTCAGTCAGAACACTGTAAACACTGTGGCATTAACTTAAATGCTCACATAATCAATCCACCACATACAATAACAGGAGCAGTAACCAGTGGTTTTGTGTCTGCAACAATAGTGTTCTGCCCCTCCGCGTCTCTTCCAGCTGTATACGTCACCTGTTATGTAATTGAAACATTCGAAGACACATTCAGTTTCATGCACATGAATACTTTTTTATTTATGTTCAGTATCTACCCATGTCACAGTAGAAAAAAAAAACAAATTCATTTTTAAAGTTTGAAAATCATGGATGATTTACCGTATCTCCTTCATCTAGGAAAAGCTTTGCAGTTTCAATTCCAGCCTGAAATAGCCCAGAAGCGCAGCTAAGTTCAATTAAACAACAAAAGCTCTCTCCATTCTTTTATGGTTAAAATGCATAGAGATTCAACCTATAGCTTGCATGTCTTCCGTCCAACAACTCTATTTCATCTAAACGTGCATAAACCCTAGTATACATACATCCATACACACATACTAACAGGAAGCAAAGGACTAGCCACTTAGGTACCAACTTGTACAAGTCCACCAAGGTTATCTCTAAGGTCCATTACAAAATATGAAGAACCCATGTCTTGGAGCCGCTTCATTGCTGCACAGTCCACAAGAGCAAAACTGGAAGCATTAACGGAAGATAACAAATGATAAAACCAGAAGTTGAAAACTTAGAAAGGGTAGCATTACCAATCACCAAATCTTTTCTAGCAAGGGCATTGAACTCTTTTAAGCGGATATACCCAACAGAAGTTTTGCCATTGTCTACTTTTTCCAACCGATAAAAGACTGGGGTCCGTGCATTAACTTGTCTCTGGACTTCTATTGATTGAACAGGTCCACAATCACCATGCATGACCTGCAACGTACACTACGCATGACAGATGTCTGAAGAAGTAACAAGTACAAGGAAAGAAAAAAGCCCCAGTACATCAAACCTCCACCCATCTTGTACTTAGAAAAAAAAAACACATTGCAAGTCCACATCAACATCAACATCAACATCGCCTTAATCCCACGTTTATTTGAGGAGAAATAATAACCTTGAGAACCACATAAGATTTACTAGGGCCTTGCAACAAAGATAATGCTTCAAATGCTGATTTCCCAGCGACATCCACTCCATTGACAGCAAGAAGTTGATCCCCCTGACAAGAAACGGCAGAACACATGAGAGAAAGCATCCAAGAAAACACTGAGCCTAGATGCATTAATAGAGCATCACTAACATTTGCAGGTTTACCTGCCTTACACCAGCAGCGTTAGCAGGGCCATCCAACACGAGACCAAGCACCTTCAGCTTAACATGTCCATCGCCATCAGGAATTTCCCTAAGGTTTATTCCAATACCCGAGAGGTCGTACTTCGACATCCTGGAGAACTTTCACAAGTGACAAAACAAAAAGAAGACTCCATTAGAATTAGACAACATATGTGAAGTATAAAAATCCTCAAGCAATTCGTGGAAGCAAATACTGAACGGGGATACGAGAAAAGACAGAACATGGACCAGAGCTTGGCTAACCTCTTCCGGTGAGAGGAAACGAGTATATGGGTCGCCCAAACCGGCGAGCATTGTTCTTATCACCTCATGAGCCTTTGATCTACTCCGGATCGGACTAGACAATAAATCTTCCTTCTTTTTCTGATAAAAAAGCATCCGAAAGCATTGCTCCTTCATACTCAAGAATATTATCAATTGAATAGAAAACTTCTCAAGAGAATCTTATGCAAGATGAAAATATAACCCATTGATTCCATCTTCATAAAGTTTACAAATTTTATAATTCCAGAAAGTGCTTTCTCATCTGTCTTTGTGCTATATCTACTGCTTTATACACACACATGCATACTCAACTGCATACGTATACGATACCTGCCACGTTTCAGGGGTCCAGCTATGGCGACCGGTATCGAGGAAGGCGTCATTGACGATCTGCCAAGCTTCTTGAACAATGTCCTCATCGGTGACAAACTCCGGCCTGACGTCATCATCTCTCGGCTGCTCTGACTCGGCATCTTCCTCGTCACGGCAGTTTTCCGGAGCAGGCTTGAGGTAGTTCAGGGAAGAATCCGGCGGAGACGGCGGTTTCAGGGAGAGGTATGGATCGATGGCAAAGGAGGAGAGGGGTGAAGAGAAAACCAGAGTGAACGAGAGAGCTCCGGTTAGGGCTCCGATTACTGACTTTTTGGCCCAATTGTTGAACTCCGGGAAGTTCAACGACGGCGGAGGCGTAGGTTCCGACCGAAATCCCGGCGGCGGAGGCGCCGACGAGGCGGATAACGGCGAGGGAAATGGAAGCATGAGCCTCATCTTCGTTTTGCTGCTTGGTTCTGAACTTCTGATTGGACCCAATACACACACGTGGATACACGCGCATCTAAGTGCACGTAGCAAAATATTTTGTACAAATTGACAATAAGCCCTCATATTTATAAACGCATAACATAAAATGTACTAAATTACTAATTTAACTCTAACAGTACCCAACTTAATAAATCCACCCTCCAATAAAACTCTAACAGTTTCGAAATTTTCTCCAGCTTTTACGCCTTACAGACATTTAAAGTTGACATAATTTTCATGTTGAAATTTATAACCACTTTTGTAAATCTTTCACAAAAAAATATATAATGCTTAATTCTATCTTCTTTTTCACCTCTTCTCTTATGGACAAGATAATTCGGTGTCTTAACGAGGCTAACTCAAATTACGTTGATTTGATATTTCGTGTTTTCTTATCTTAGATAAACAACCCAAGACGAGAAGGGCTTTTCTGAAAATATAAAAACTTTTCGACTTTTTTGCACAAGCGATAAAGTTGAGGGTTCGCTTTTTCCGTGCGTTTTTTTTCTTGGAGAACAAAGTTAGGTCCAATGGGCCAGCCACAGGCCCATCACCCAACAACGCCACGCGGCGCGTGCGTGTTTGTCTGCCACGTCGGCCCATTCAAGTGACGTTCTTATCCAATATATATTCCATCATTCATAACCCAACTCAAATGAGCAGATTCTTCACCCTCACGGCGCCACGCGCCATCCCCGCGCGTACATGTCATTCTCTTTGCTACAAAATCCAAAAATTAAAAAAAATCTAAACTTATATTTTCGCATTGAATGAGTTTCCTAATTAATATCTTATCCAAATCCGAGTATTCATCGCCCCTGTTTCAATTAACAAATTCTTAAATTAATAAAGAAATTATTAATAATAACCGTTGATGTGATACCTATTAATATGCAAATATTTGTTACAAATGGGAATATGTTGTTTATGTCAGCGATTTGAAAACACTTATCCGCAATTTATCATTACAAAAGCAGTCCTTTCTCTCTCCAATATTAACATCGTTTCAGAGAGAAACGAAGTAAATTTTGGAAAGTAGTGGTTTTTTCTTTCTTCAAATTTGAATATTTTTTCCCTTTCCCGAAAGAAAAAAAAAGAGAGGGTTTTTTTAGATACTTTCAAGTGCGAGAGAGAGAGAGAGAATCCTTTGTTCGATCTTTTGCGTTAGGAATCGCGGTGGTGGAGCTCGAGAGAATCGTGGAACGTCGAATTTCCAGTCAGATCTGAAGGGGTTTTCAGGCAATCGGGCCGAGGAAGAGAGGAGAGAATGAGCGGCAGCGGCGGCGGCGGAGCCGGGAAGGGCAGTAACGTGAATTTAGGTGTTCCGGCGGCGTCCAGGAAGGTGGTTCGGAGCTTGAAGGAGGTCGTGAACTGCTCCGAAGAAGAGATCTACGCCACGCTCGTCGAGTGCGATATGGACCCCGACGCAGCCGTTAATCGTCTCCTCTCTCAAGGTCCTCTTCCTGTTTCTTCGAAATTTTCTCTCTTTTTGTCTGGTTTCTTTGTTCTGCAGCTGTTTAATTTCAAAGAAAGTGAGAGAGAAGAAGACGAGGTGAGGGAAGCGCGAGCAGGGTTTCTTCTTTGCCTAGATTCCACTGTCGTCCTCTTCAATGGCTTTTGATTTGAATTCGTTTCAAATTTATCGAGAATCTTGCGCAAAGAGAAATCTCTAAACCCTTTTTCTCATATTCCTCGAAATAGCAACGTTTTCTGATTTCGTTGAATCGCCCTCCATCACCTATTTCTGGAAACAAGTTAAACCGAAAAATATTCTCTCTTTGGGCTTTTGCCGGCTTATACGCTTCGTGTAATTCATACTCTCTCCATGGATATGATAGTATAAGTATGATTACAGAATTTCTGATTATTCCATCGATTTCCCAGATTCTTTTCACGAGGTGAAGAGCAAACGAGACAAGAAAAAGGAGGTTTGTGCATTTGTGAATTTCCATGTCTTTGGATCACAAAACATTAACGAGTCTGATAAGCAGTTATAAATGAGTGATTAGCGTGTAGAACTGCAAGCATTATACTTGTCATCATCGCTAATAATATGTTCCTTGCCCTTCTTAATTTGACCTTTGGATCATTCCTTCTCATTTTCCAGACAAAGGACACAACAGAATCCCGATCACGAGGAGCTGGCAGCTTCCTGAACCGTGGAGGTAGGAGCAATGGTGATAATTATGCTGGCCGAGGTGGTGGACAAAAGTTTATCTCAAATGGTAGTGAAATGTATATAAAGCGTTTATGTATTTGGCGAGAGACTTGTCCTCTGCTGGTTGTTTTATAACCTTTTGCGTATCTAAACATATTTTTTTTTTGGATTTGGTTCAGAGTCGGGTAGTGTGCAAGTGCAAGGAAAACCTCCGAACAAAAGGGAAAATGGAACAAATAATCATGTGGCTGGCTCATCTTCTACCTCCAGTGTTATTGGCCGCCAACCTCTATCCAACAGGTTCTTTCTCTCCATCGATTATCCTTTGTCTTTCTTTCTCTTGCCTTTTTTTGTGCTGTCCCATGTCAAATATTGTTTCCAAGTTAGGACAAGGATGTGATTAGAAAAAGTTTACATGCGCTCGATGATTTTTCAGTGCAAAACATCACAACAGAGACTTGTATAATTGCAGCTTTATGAAGATAAAGCTATTCATTTGAGATTTTCCAGTGGTTGTTATTGTGCCATATTTAACCCATGATTTATGCTTCTAACCTTCACCATTAACATTTCTTGCTATCCACTTGCTTTGCAGTGATCCTAAAGGTACTGAAAATACGAGCTTACCAGTGGGCACTTGTGATGCAGTTCGCTCATCCTCTCAGGCATCTTCTGGTCTTCAACCTGTTTGGTTCGCTGTTCCGGGTCAGCGGACTATGGCTGATATTGTGAAGATGGGCAGGCCTCTCCATCAGAATATTGTTACGCCTCGGTCTTCAGATCTTATAACTTCATCCAAAGAGCCTGAAAGCAAAGCTCCCGTCATGGATGAATGGCCCTCAATTGAGAAGCCGGATGCTGCTTATTCTTCCTCGGTCTTTAAAGTACCCATGGTTAGTGATTCCACGGTTAGAGCAGACAACCATTTGAAGTCCCAGTTGGATGAGGACCCTGTAACAGAGAATCTTCCAGTTGAATCTCCTGTTGCAAACCGGGTTCGGCCTTCTTCAGTATCCAGTAGAAACTTTCATGATGATGATTCTAAAGGTTCGTCATTGTATGACCATGATAATGACAATAACAACAACAACAACGAGACGGTTGAGGCATACGAAACACACGGGCAACTTTTTGAGCATAACCGAGGTGAGATATTCCCTCTTTGAGTTTTCCTTGCTCTGCCAGTTTTCCATCTTATGAAAACTTCCATCTGTTTTTTATATCTTTACCAAGTCTTGCTTCTTCTGCTTTCCTCAATTGCAGCTGAAGATGTTGCCACAACTTTTCAGCAACTATCGATAGAGAATGATGACCGGGAAGAATTGTCGAAAGAGGATAGGCCTGGTGTGATAATTCCCAATCACCTCCAAGTGCATACCTCTGATTGCTTGCATTTGATGTTTGGAAGCTTTGGTTCTGAGATGGGGTCTGGCTTACCTAGTGTTTTTCCATCAGTCTCCTTGAACGATAACTTACAGGAAATACCTGAGGGAGTTGATGATTCATCAATTAGACACCCGGACACGAGGTATGCCATCCAAGGTTTTGCCTGATTGCTCTCTAGCTTTTCCCCATCGATAGCAATCTCAATTATCTCAAAACATTTCACAGAGATTCTGAATTCTATGGAGATAATGAAAGGCTCGGGAACTCTGCTGATGGAAACTTGGCTTATCATATTGATTCAAGTGCTAGGAATTACGATTCTGCCACGGACTCCGAGACAGAGCAATTGAAACAAGAAATTGCCGAACCTGCTCATGGAAATGAGTTCCATTATTCATCTGCTACAGATTATGCTTTTGACAATAATCAGCAGTTGAATCCTGCCTTGGCTCCACCAGAGACAGGTCCTCAGATGCAGAATCTCGATGCCTTCCCTGACACGATGGTAATGGCTAATGACTTCTGCTTTTGTTCCTTGACATCCAGACATATAATCTTGTATTTAAACGAACCCTAATACCTGTTCATCTCACGCAAAGGTTGTTAGAATATACTTATCACTTGCAGTTTGCATGAATCTTTGTCCTCTTACAGATTCTCTGCCGTCTTTTTTTTTCGTTTATCCCAGCAGCAAGCGTATACGAATTCCCCTTTGTTGACATCAACCATTCGGGACGTGAGGGAATCGGATCCTCGCTACTCGCCTTTCCCTA